TTGGTCTCTCCGACAGAAGAATTTCGGGCGCCATGTATCTCGGCGTTCCGATGACTGTTTCCATTAGTTGCATAGTAGCGTTTATACCCTGAGGAAAGAAATAAAAGTCAGAATGTACCTTGTTCTTCTAAGGTAACTTGTGGGATGTCCGAAAAATTCCTTTGCAGAGGAAATTCAATACTGTATTTTTGTTTTATTTCAAGGTAGACATGTTTTTTTCTTCAGTTGAGAATCATGAGGTAATTATGTAAGTCGAAGAAACAATACAATATTTATAAAAGGCATGAAGCAGAAAATAGGAAAGAAATTTTTCCTCGGTATATTCAAAAAATGTCAACTGTATGATACGCTAATCTCAGATACGGGACCCAGAATCAGATACGAATTTGGTTGAATTCGTGTGCAGTTCGGAAGGCTGGCTGACACGTTTTGTCAATATCTTGCAATGAACCTTTTTACAAGTGTTTGGTCCTCAGGGTTTCAAGTTCTCCAATATATGTCGTGCTTATAAAGACGAGAAGAAAGCCGCCGTTGATATTCTGAGGGTCTTCAGCAATAGCACCCTTGACTTTGAAACTTGTTGCTCATCAATGAGGATTCCTGTTCAGATCAATTTGTCACTAGGAAGCGTTGCTAAAATGTTAAGATTTTTCTCATCAGAACATGTTTCACATGTGTGTAAATGTCATCAAGAAGATATTTTAATGATTCAAAATATTCGTGAGCTTTCAGACAAAAATAAGTCATAAAAATTGCATTGTGACGGAGAACTCGCTGTTCTTCGGAATTGGGTAAAATGTATCTGTTGTTTCTCAATTTGAACTTGGGTAGGCAAAAATTAGAACGGTGATAAGGAAATATGAAATGTTAATCCTGAAAGAATCATGCCCATCTCAATCCATCCAAGAGCAAGGGATGGACAGCTGTAAAGAAACTTTGGGATTGCAGTACTCTTGTCAAGTACCGTCGTGGCTGTCAGTGAGATCTACCCAAATAAAAATAACTGTACTGTAATGGACAAGTAGTGTATGCGTATCTCACGGATTGAACATTGTTAAAATTAGAAAATATGTCATTGCACTGCAACTTTTCGATCATCCCCATCTGAATTTTGAATCTTCTTTACTTTAGATATTCCGAAGTCTGTTATTTTGGGCGAAGGAAGCTCGCCAAAACACAAGATGTTGTCGGGCTTCAAATCACGGTGGACGATGCGACGGTGATGCAAGTATTGAAGTCCGTTGATGATTCCTTTGGAAAATCGACGAGCTGCAGCGCCGTCGCCTTTTGACAGCTCCCGCATAAGCTTACGAGACAAGGGTCCTTTGTCTGCTAACTCCATGACAATTCCCAATCTGCCGTCTTGGAAATTGATCAGGCCGTGCATCTGTTTGAAAATTTGTTTTTAACTTACTGTAGCTGTTATTCCCAAAATTTTAATTGCTTGTTAATGGAATTCGAGACAGCTTTATGTAAATGGATTTTCCTGAAAGCTTGTAGTTAGTGGTTTAAAAAAAACTGGTGCTCGTTCCTGCCAAGCATGTGGAGATTTTTTGCGTCAAGATTTTGTATTCATGGCAGCTTTGTTGAATACCATTTTTATTTTTCATGGAAATACTCCGTATTGAAACGAATTTGGATTGGGTATATGGGTCTGGCTGGTACTGCATACAGTAATCGAAATAATATCGGAAGCTTAATAATCTCTGTGCCTCGAAATAGTGTGCCTTCTTGGTATTATGTCAGAACTTGGATACAGTGGGTGATTAATCAACTTTTTTCATGCATACTAGAGAAATTGCTGAAATTTTGAAGAGAGTGTTATCAGAGCAAATTCTAATTCATCTGTAGCCTTGAGCAGTTTCTTTTTGCTACAGTATAAGATATCTGTTTACTCATTATACTCATGTGTGAGTAATGAGTATAAACATCAGTGTAGTGGAGCAACCTAGCTTCCTCACCTCTGTCATCAAGCAATGCAAGATTTTGAAATTACGTATACTGTAGCGCCGCAGAAATTTGGTCCATTGTTCTCCTTTGTAAGTGGGGATTCATGTTTCAAGCCTTGCCTTTGTGTTTTGAGTTAAACATTTTAGTGCTGTATAAGCAAGCAGAAAAAGAACAAAATTTCTGCCGCACATGCAGATGAAACTGGCCAAAATTTAAAGCATCAGCACAGGGATGCATTACAATTTTCTTCTCTGAAATACAATCTGATGTCCTGAAGTACAGTATCCAAAACAATATAAAAATAGTAGACGTTTTAATAAAAGAATCGTTCTAATGAGATTCCTCAGGCATTTATCATACTGTACATCGCCCGGTTTTCCACTAATGCTTTGCTGATATTCCGAACAAGAAACATCTATACCTTGATGATGTTCACATGATCGCATCTGAAAATCAGGCTGGCTTCGTTTTTCAGTGCTGCATCTTGGCGAAAATTTCCACTAACTCGGATGCACTTGATGGCGACTTCACGGTTCTTCCACTTGCCAGGATTCACGCAACCGAAACCTCCACTTCCTAAAACGGTTTTCGAAATACTGACGTCCTTCTCGTCGATCTTTGTTATTATCCCGAACGCTCTTTGTAAAGACTGCATGATGGTCTTAATATTGCTATGGAATATTACCTCGCAGTAAACACTGACATAGAGGATATATCTTTTGTTCTTCAAAAATAATGCATTCTACCGGAGTTCGCTGCTTTGCGCATACGTCACTGAATCGCGAGCATGGCGCAGATATGTACCGTGATCAGTAATCGTGTGATATGTCTTATCTGCACCCAGAGCATCACAGTCTCTGTAAATTATACAAACAGCTGTACGCGACAAACAGATGTATCCAACGCCCTTCAACATTTTGTTCTGGTTTCATAAACAGAAAGCTATTGTCCTCTGTTTTGTCGCTAGTTGTACGAACCTTTTTATTGCTAATAGACTTTGTAGGTGTCGCTGTAAATTGAACAACACGGTACGTAGTCGTGCTGCTGGTCGCGCGCGGTGGGTTGACTCAGCTGCGTCTCGCCAGCGTCGTCATTTCGTTGTTGGCACCCTCTATTGTGGGAGATGACCAGAGGTGGATCAGCATTTTCAGAGTTGGATGATGGTAATTCGTTTTCACTAATGCTCCATTTTTCGCCGATCCGTGCTGTTGCATACCGGATGGGTGAAGAAATGACGGTTTTTAGTTTACGAACTCGATCCAGCACGGAAGCATATGCAGAATTAGAAGTTCTCAACGCATCTGCGTCTTGCAGGATTTTGCGAATAAGTATGAGTGAATATAGTATCCCCAATTAAACACAGCATGAGGAGTATCGCAGTAAGTTGGCAATAATTTAAGACTATTTTCAATAAATTAATTCTATGTTGATTGCTTGAATAATAAACTGATGCAAATTTCAATGCGGAAACACGATAGCGCATCTCCACGGTGGATGCGCGAAACTACAATTAACATCAGGAAACGCCAGAGTCCGACGAGTTCGTATACCCAGTCAGCAGCCCGTGTACAGTACTGTACTGTATAAAGAAGTAGCATTCCGCAATTTGTCTTCTGTAGACCTGTACTGCTGCATGTATATGTAAAGTACTTTATTGTACTGCACTTATATTTTTTTTATCAAAATCCAGGTTGTGGTCTTATACTGTATTGTACTATGATTAATGCACCTGTATAAGCTGTATTAATCATGGTATGGCTCATGATGGCCATGCGTTCAGCCAAAATTGAAGAGAACATCGCGCGCGGTGGGTTGACTCAGCTGCGTCTCGCCAGCGTCGTCATTTCGTTGTTGGCACCCTCTATTGTGGGAGATGACCAGAGGTGGATCAGCATTTTCAGAGTTGGATGATGGTAATTCGTTTTCTCTAATGCTCCATTTTTCGCCGATCCGTGCTGTTGCATACCGGATGGGTGAAGAAATGACGGTTTTTAGTTTACGAACTCGATCCAGCACGGAAGCATATGCAGAATTAGAAGTTCTCAACACATCTGCGTCTTGCAGGATTTTGCGAATAAGTATGAGTGAATATAGTATCCCCAATTAAACACAGCATGAGGAGTATCGCAGTAAGTTGGCAATAATTTAAGACTTTTTCAATAAATGAATTCTATGTTGATTGCTTGAATAATAAACTGATGCAAATTTCAATGCGGAAACACGATAGCGCATCTCCACGGTGGATGCGCGAAACTATACAATTAACATCAGGAAACGCCAGAGTCCGACGAGTTCGTATACCCAGTCAGCAGCCCGTATACAGTACTGTATAAAGAAGTAGCATTCCGCAATTTGTCTTCTGTAGACCTGTACTGCTGCATGTATATGTAAAGTACTTTATTGTACTGCACTTATATTTTTTTATCAAAATCCAGGTTGTGGTCTTATACTGTATTGTACTATGATTAATGCACCTGTATAAGCTGTATTAATCATGGTATGGCTCATGATGGCCATGCGTTCAGCCAAAATTGAAGAGAACAATGGGTTCATTTGAATTTTCTACGTAACAGATGAAAGTCATCAAATCATTTTTAAAAGTTTGACGCACGTTCTTAAACGGCATACTGTATTATTTCCTGTTCCTCTACGCATGTAAGTGCAGAATCACAAGAAGACGTATGATTTCCTCTCCTCCGAAGTTTCTCTCGACGGAGTAACCAAAAGATTAACATTTACAGTACAGTACTGTATACAACAGTAATATGCATCAAACTAGGTCTGATCATCATCTAAGCTGACAAAACCAATTTTTTCTGTAAACTTCTCAATTATAACTGTCGTTTATAGGTATACGTGAGTCAATAGAGCGCGGAATCTCATGAACGCATCACGCAGCAAGGAAGGCAAATTGCAGGACCATAGTTGGAGCTTGGAATGACTCAACTTATTACAAGTCCGCAGTGAAGTGAGTGACATCTACCAAAATTACGTAAACAAAAAGGAGCACAGCAGCGAAATTCAAGATCGAAACAAACAAACATCAGGAAATCGAGAAATCCGCGCCAAACAAATACATTCAAGTACTGTATTAAGTCTTTGAGGAGTACTGGTTGGATGGAAGCAGTTATTCTTTTTCTTCCCCAGTTCTGGAATTTTCTTATTTATTGACGACAAAATATATATTTTTTTTTTATGTGCATCAATCCGTGAATTCGGCGCTCGAAAATCTCTGCTGATTCATATTACTGATGTAAATATACTGTATGTAAGGTCTGCTCATTCGGTCAAGCTATATCCACGTTATTTTTCTCAATCTCAAAATTATTGCTGCGTTATCAAATCTACAGCGTATGCTCCGTAGGTTTTGAAGTTGAGTATCTTGGCCAAGGTATTCGAATTAAAATATGTACTCTTGAAAATTCTGAGAACTTTGAAAACTGGTGTTTCGGTTCATTTAAAACTGCGTTGAAGATTAATTGCACGAGAGTTGAATTTTTCCTCAATTTCGAGTGCTTCCTTGTACTGTAATATTAGCTTTATTTACAATACGTCTTTTGAATTTGTTAGATACTCCGTAATCGAAGTCTGATCACATTATCACTTCCTATGGGAAAGCGTATAAAAATTGAAAACTTCTGGGAAACATTTCCACAATTCCCGAAGAACCAATCTTCCAAGTTTGTATTTTTATAACAATTCTAACGCTTAAATACTGCACACAGTTCTGTAGTACAGTATATTGTATCAGTTTCCGTCGCATCTCCAAACTAAAAATTCCGGGTTTTCTGCGCGAAGCGAGCCCGCGGGCCGGGGTCGGGATCCCGCGGATGCTCACCGAGCCCGGTTCCCCTTCCCCGCCTCAGAGCGCCAGTGACACCCGGGTATGCTGGACCAGCAGGAAGTGATTGAGCGGTGCAAATCGTTCAGGTATTTGTGCCCGCGATTTCGACTGATGGAGAAACCGACTTGAATGAGATGAACACTTCTCGACCTCTTCAAAATATTCTTAAAATTGCATTTATCTTACGGGATCGATTACGTGTATTGTACAATAGTCATGATTTTACTTCTCGTTTTCATAGTGCCGTGATGTTTTGTAATTGGTGAAACAGCGTGACCTCGATGTTAACGCAGGACCTAGTTATGATGATTTCGCAACACTGCTTTTCTTCAGTGAATGTCTGCTTCCTAAGAATGTTTTTAGCCATGCAATATCCTCTGAAATGGAAAACTTCTTGGTGTCTTATTTCGATTTTTGCTGTATATGAACGTGCAGTGTAAGTTGTAAAGATGAGTATGCTGTAAGGCGTTGTTGCTCTACGACAGCGTGCCGATGAGTGGTACAGCGAATCGTATTCCGAAATCTTACGATTAAATTTGACAATGCCATGTATTTCCAGAAAAAAACCCTTGATGTTTATCCTCTAGTTTGTCATAGCTCTATCCCTCATAACTTATCACGTCAAGGACACATTCGTGACCGCCTGACCGCCTTTGTTAGAAATTCAGTGATGCATCACTTTTATCAAATTCTTTTCACTGAGTTCTTTGGAATTATTGATATTGAAATGCGTGTGATATTCATCATTAGAGCCAGGAAACCAAAACTGACCCGATATTTTCAAACCAGTGATGACAAGAACCTCAGTGCTGATGAGTGATACTTAGCTTCGATTAGTTCATGCAATAAGACAAAACTCAGCATTCCATTCAGCAGTGAAAGCTTGCTTTCACCCCTTTCGTGCATGGGTCGTACTGGCATTAACGCAGGACCTGACTCCGCGAGTGATTTCATCAGTGACCTCAACGCTTCCTGCTGGGACACGTAACACTATGTCGAGTCCATCCACTGGCGATAATTTCGACGCCACGGCGTCCTCGTCGTCAGATCCTGGGTCGCCGTTGGCTGGTGGTTGTGGTGGCAGTGGCCGGGGCGGCGGTGGCAGTGGACGCCGGAAGCGGTTCAAGCCTCAACGGAAAAATGGTGAGTCAAACCCTTGGGCGTTTCTGCAAGTTCTTGAATTGCTGGACATCTGAGGATGTTCGCATTGTCACTGTCATTTGAATTATTCCGAAAGATGAATACAAGAAAAGGGAATTGAGAAACATTTTGCGTCGAAATTTGGCGCTGTACTACAGTGTGGAAGTAGACAATTAAGTTCTTCAGATTGCTACTATTGCGGCAATTAAAAACCATTGCGTAAAAATCCGATTTTTAGAATTTTTGGACTATTCTCGTTTGGTCTGATGATTCTGCTTACCCGCTGAGCAAATTTCAGCTCGTTCAAAAGCTCCCATTTCCTTTTGGACGTAATTGAAAAATTCTTACGAAAGCCAAATAAATTGGCAGTTTACATCTAGAGCTTCATTGAAGCATTTTTCATCATTTGCGATTGTGAATTAGTTCGGAAAATCAAAGAATCAGAGCTAGCGATTTCTATAATTTCTGTACTGAACTATTTGACTGCAGTATATGTTTTCTCAATTCCCGAAGTGAGAAATTCGAGAGAAAAAAATTTTGGGGAAGGTAACGGTAATGGAGAGAGTCAAGTCAGAACGTTTGAAGTGTTTCGGGTCTTCCTCTGATGATGGGAGATACAATTTTGCGAAGGATTGCTGCAGAACTCTGATAAACCGTTCAAAAAACTTTAGTTTTCGGAAGCACTCACAGCTGTAAACATCGTACATTTAACTTAATCCACTTCACTTTCTGTTCATTTTACGGACTTATGCATTTGAAGATCTTTAAGATTGATTGCGACTACTGAACTACGATACTACCTGTATGAATTCACGTGGTTCCCGACTGTTTTTTCCCAACTTCAGAAGACTATTTTCCGGGAATGTTCAGCTTGTTCACAAC